TAAAATTGTACCACAGAAGCCCAGAGTCAGGTGGTCATGACGGGTTCTGGGGGACTTATATGAAGCTGATCCAGCGCTTCATGTGGTTACACTTGGTAGACAACACTAGACAATACATCAGATCCTGCCATCTCTGCCAGATGTACAAAGTGAAGTACAAACAACCTACCGACAAAATGACGCTACATGATCACTCTAAGACACTGTTCAAAGGGCTTTAACTTGATTTTGTGAAGATCAAGAAAAAAGCGAGGGAGTGAAGAAAACCCAGGTGTTTCTAGTGTGCATTGAGAGTGCGCCCGAATGCTGGTAGCAAATCCGGGTATGGAAGACGCTAACAGTGTGATTCCTTTGCTCAGCAGCGATATGTATAGAAATTTCAAGTTTATTGTTTTGAACAATGAACCCGCCTTTCGTAGCCGAAAACTAAAAGGTTGGGCAGAAGACCGCAGGATAACCCTCTGATTCACAGCACCATACCATCCGTCTGCAAATGGCCTAGCAGAGCGAGCCATCGAGATATCAAACAATATACTTTAACTTCCCCCGTGGCTAGAAATGCTCGCTTGAGGATGCTGTAGCCCATCATAATTGGTCGTACAAAGCAAGGTTAGGATGCAGTCGTTTCTTCGGGATCTCACGAAAAGCTATGCTGCTGAAGGCTGACAACCTGCTCGGGACTGCGCGAAAAGTGGCTATCAAAGAATGCAGAAAGTCTACAGCTCAACAAGAACAATATCGATATGAGATGAAACATCACTTTGAGATGCGACACAATGATGAGTTTCTAGGGTTACGAGTGGATGACTTCGTCTACAGTGTGCGGCCGTAAAAACTTTCCCATTTGGCACGCCTAGGGAAAATGGAATTTCAAACGTACATACCTGAAATTGGGCACACGACCGTCGTTTATTGCAAAGTTTCTTTGCCTATTTTTTCAGACGTCAACTTGGGAGTAGCGAATTATTTGAAAGATAACAAGAATGGCAGACGTGCATTTCCTATGGCCTATAGCCGCCCGTTCGCCGTTTGCAATCTGCTCCGCGACGCCGCTCCCAGGTGGCGCACAGAACGCAAAAGCGCGGGAAACGCCGCACGAAAGGCTGGCGTCGGGCAAGATAATCGCGATGAAAAGGGATTTTAACGAAATATATGAACGATTGTTGAAATTACCTTTTAAAAGTCAAGTTTTGACAGATCGTCATGCAAGCGAGAAGTCACCATGATATGACGAGATCGTTTATTAACAGCCTGAAATAGCAAGTAGTGCTGCTACCGTTGCAGACAAGTTCGTTTTGAGTTGTCATTTCATTCTGATTTTTACAAGGCCGCTGTAGCTCACAACGTAATCTTTTTTTTTCATACAGCTTAGGTATAAATAACGCTCATGTCGCAAGACATATTTAAAAAAAAATCATATTAATTGGGGCAATATTTACGGCGCGAGAGTCATTTCGGCGGGCCGGTGATAAAATGACTGGTATTTGTGAGACATGGTCGTCTTTTTGCTGGTTTCTTATTGGTACCTCTATCAGCAGCCTCTACTTTGCTCTCCGCGTGCCGCAAGCAGCACGAGAGGCAAAAGTAAGAGGGAAACTAATAGATCAAATTCCGTCAGGAACTGGAAGTTGTGCGTTCATTCAATTGTTTATTCTTGAGAAATACATCTTCTGATACGCCTGTTCTGTCACGGCGCTTTGAAATAATGTTGATGCTGCAGTGGCCTTTTAAACGACTAGGGTTCGGCCGATTCGATGTGTCCGCCGTTCACAGACACGCAAAGCCGAAGTCGAGCTTCGTACGCCAGGAAAGCCCTTTCGCGCATCCCATCGTCAATCTCGAGGAACGCGCCCTCACTTTTTTCTTCCAGCTCTTCGATGCTGGGGATCCTCTTCTTGCAGACAAGTCCTTTTATAAATCCCCATACGAAAAATTCGCTCATATTTAAGTCGGGGGATCGTGGAGGCCAGTCCATATAGTCTGATGACTCTGATCCCCGACCCATTTCGTAACCAGGGAGAATAGAGGGTTTTCGGGAGGAAAGAAACCGAAATTCGAGCTGCAAACTCTGTTCTAAGTAGTTGGGTTCTCATATGTCACATACAACTAAAAACATCGGCGAGCATAAATACACTGTCAGTGTCCCTTTAAGATAGCGATGGTTCAAAACAACCATTAGCACATTTTTTTAATGTTAGTTTGCTACAGCCATTGGCCGCACCGTTTCGGTTCAAGAATGGAGCAAAACCAAGGTGTGCTACTTACTTTTGAGTGCCGAAGTAGCAACCACTGTCTCCATTTGTGTACACGACATCAAGCAGGTACGCCATTAGAGTTGAAAGTATCATTACCATGGTGTAATCAATCTCGCAGTTAATCAAAATTTTGGAACTATTCACCGAAGAAATATGTTTACTGTCCCACTCTTCCCACCGTCCCATTTCTCGTCGCTCTCCTCTGCGCCTTTCGCTATAATCAAGGCTAACTTGATAATCTTAAACGCATCATTCATTTTGTTGTACATAAAAATGATAAAAATGAAACCAGAAAGCCTCGATACAAAAAAAAACCGAATGGCTGAAGCTTATAAAATTAGTGTTGTGCCTATAAATACACTATGTACTACATTAAATGTCATTTGGCAATGTTCCTGTGATTCAAATCAATACAAAAACGTGCAGTGGTATTGCAAAGTAAGCATGAAAGTATCTTTGGAAGAAGTAATTAAAATAAAGCAAAAAGCATGAGCCATTCCACGCTGTAAAAGTCTGTGTCGTGTGCTAAACAGCTTCGCTGTTTAGCACACGACACAAACGTGACACAGAGTTTTGAACAAAGGTACGAACACATTTATTGTCTTGATCGGTGGTCATCGTGACGAAAGGCACTCGCACTCATTTATTGTTTTCTTGATCGGTGGTCGTTATTTCGCTTGGACGACTATCTCCGTCCCGAGGAGGCGGGGGGTAACTAGACACGAGCGGCGGGGTTGCCGCCCGGAGAAAGTCGACACGCGCGACGGGACCGCCACCCCCGGGAGAGCGGAAAAAAAAGGAAACTAGCCACACAAGCGCTTGGAACGACGACGAAGAGAGGGCGCTGCGAGCGTAGACATGGCCGACGAGGGTCGCCCAGTGGCAAATCTTTAAGATAACCTTGATTATCTATCTGAGAGCTATACTGAAATTGAAAATGTTGCCTTTTGATAACTAATGTACCGAATAGGCCCACTGAATACACCTTTTTTCTAAATTACCCAAGCATCGAGAAGATAGCCGGGAATGGGGTTCCACGCGCCGCACGTGCCGGCGTCTGCAGCAGTTAGTGTTCTAAAGAAAAAGCCTAAAAAATGGCATCTTGCACGCGCATTCCTCAACGCTTTATTTTGGGGTCATTTCCTTCAAATCTTTTATACGGGGATGGCGTGCGCGTGCGGCACGTGCGGTGGTGCGAGCGTAGAGTTTTTGCCAAGGAGCACTAATGCGCTTTTTGTAGAAGCTTGTTTTTTTATGGTCATTATTTGCTAGGATTTAGTCAATAAAAATTTCCAGTAGCGTACTAGTAAACTCACAGCAAAAGATATACACGGACACTGTTTTTTCTTGCTGGAGAAAGGGGGGGGGGGGGGGGCATCTTCGGGTTTGCAGTACATCAATAAAACTCGACCAGTAAAGAAAAAAAATCGTGAAGATTTTCAAGGTTACTATTACTGCTCTTTTCAGGCGCACTGTACATTTTCTTTGGGTGCAGGAGACGTAAAAAAAAAATTATTGTTTGAAAAACTCGTCTGACGGCGGAGGGTGCTTAGAGCCCGTAGATTGAGTTTTCAGCATAAATAGATTATCTCCGATTCCGTTTAGGTGCTCTTTTAAGATTCGTTTATTTTTTTTTTTTTAATATCTATACAATGTCTATCGCAGACGTCTATTAGATCACGCTCCCTAATCTAAGTTGGGCCAATAAAAAGCATCGATTAGTTTGCACACTACGGAAGGCACGTACTCATTTCTGTTAGCCATCACCTGTAATGTTCTCCGCAACAGTATGCGCAACTTGCCTTATGAAGCCCATGAAACTCTTTATTTTTTTCAGGAGCATCTATGAATTATTGTGTAACCCGATTTCTATAAATATAGGCATTTTGGTTTAGTTCAAACCGGATCGTTTTGGGAAGTTAGAAAAAATAACTAAATTATATAAACCAATAATTATAAGTTATGAAATTCGGTGTGACTGGTCATTACTTTGGTACGGCAAAACGTGAAAGAAAACTAATATTGCGCCGTGTAGTTCACCCCAGAAGAAAAAAAAAGCGATTCCATTTGAGGTGATCCTTCAAGTTAAGTCGACACATTATTACTCTGGTGAAAATGCGTTTTCCTTTTGTTAGTTATATTAAGTTCACATGACAAATGCAAATTTTCAAGTATCTCTGTCGATCCCCAAAACTGAAAAAAAAAAAAAAAACATGTTTTTGCTTTTATTGCACATATGGTTCTGCACCCCTCCCCCTTGTTTTTGGGCTAATTGCTAAGATTCTGGGCATTCACCTCTCAGGAAAACGTTAAAAAAATTAATTCCTTTCAAACAAATACAATCTAGTTGTTTGAAAGGAATTCATTTGAAAGGATACATACATTATTATATTCATCAGATGAATCACTGGCAGAAAATTTACAATATTAATTAGTACCAACCAACACCAAAGAAATGTATGTTTTTTTGTCTTTTTTTTATTTCCAGGAACAACATAGTTTAACGTATATTCCTATAGGCAAACCTCGCAATATATTGACTTGCTGCTTCCGCACCCCCCCCCCCCCCAAAAAAAAAAAAAAAAGAAAAAAAAGATATAATATTTTAAGGATTTTATTAGCGTCGGACCTGTGACGCGCGTTTAAATTAAAACTTCTTGTAATCATAGTACCTCTTGATTCCTCAGGACAAACATGGAACGTCGCAAAATATTTTCCACAGGGATCTCGACCTTTACTCAAGCCTCAAAGGGAGCAGATGTGTTCCCTGCACGTACCTGAAGAAACAAAAATCAAAAATAAATTAACGAAAATGTGACAGATATCTATAGTCCGTTGCAATCTAACAACGAAGGGCGAGGGTAAGACGGGCCGGGGAGGAGGAAGCAGACGGAACAATAAAGAGAAAAGGAGGTTTCCCCCTCTCTGCTCCAGCTTTCCGTCTGCTTCCTCCTCCTCGGCCGGTCTTACCCTCGCCCTTCGTTGTTAGATTGCAACAGAGTATAGACAAACGATGTTATTTGAAAGGACATAAAAATTCTCTCCCCCACCTCTAACCCTTCCTAATATATATCTATATATATATATATAAAACTTGAAGAAAAAAAACCTTAGTGAAAACAGCAACAACAGACGATTTAATCTTCGACTTTTCGGCCGGAGTCCGGCCTTCGTCAGGAAGACGAAGGCCGGACTCCGGCCGAAACGTCGAAGATTAAATCGTCCGTTGTTGCTGTTTTCACTAAGGGTTTTTTCTTCTCAGTTATATACCCACGCCTTCGGCCTCCCGCCACCATGCCCGTTATATATATATATATATATATATATATATAATTCTTTTGTGCTTAAAGGCCGACGACCAGACTCGAGATTCTGCAAGGCAGAAAATCCTCCTCACCATGGGGGAGGAGGAAACAGGTAACGGTGGGCAGGGTAAAAGGGGGCAGAGGAGGAAGCGAGGGAAAAGTGGAAAGCGCGAACTGGTCGTCGGTCTTTAAATCAGGCACGCACGTCGAAAATTAAATTTCACCGCGGAAACAAACAAAAAAGACAGCCGTGCAATATTCACGTTGGCCGACTTGCACGTGCAAATACAAGACGGGCTTCTAACTAGGGTCAAGTAATATCATTTGGAGCAGAAATAAAACAAACAACAAATATTTATGAACCGCCGCCTATCTAAACCTAACATTTGTCAAACCAAGAAAATACACTGCGGGCGTCTGTGGCATTTATTTGAGTAAAATTCGTCGACTGGAAAGACGACATAGTTTTCTATCTTGCTGACGCGATATTTTTTTTCAGTCAAATTAATTATATAATTGCCGAGAACGACATCCCCTGGTTTGACGGATAATAAAATTAGGTAAACGTCGGCGCATACAAAAGTTGTGTTTTCTTTTTTTTAGGTAATAATATGATATCGAACATTCTCATTTCATTACCACGACCAAAGTCGCAGTCTCAAGGGCTTCAGGTTTCTGCAAAGCCTTGCTTATGTATGCGGGTCGAAGAAAAAGCCGGTTTTCCCCTTCTCTCACAGACCCGGTATAAGTCAAAGCTTGAGGAGAACCTTCCCGTAATATCCTGCCTAAGTTGGAGCCATTCAACAGAAAAGCTTAGCGACTCTCCCTAAAAGTGTAGATTATATTTTGCACTGCGCTGGCTGAATTTCTCATTTTTAGGAGAGACCAACAAAACTCAAAAGAAGGCCTGCAAGACCGCTTGCAATCCTTGCGAATTTGCGGCGGATCCACGCTGGCACGGAGTGGATTTCGGAGCCGGGTGGCGAAGTCGACTCGTCACTGGCGGAAAATCTTGATATGACTCTCGAGGACCGACCCAAAGTTTTCGCCAGAGACGAGCGGGTTTCGCAATCCGGCTCCAAAACCCGCTCATCCCCGGCAACTAGTGCAGAGCGGCCCGGTGCAGTTGGCAACCGCCGCAATTAAAAAGTTTTTTTTTTTTAATACTTAAGCTTGGCGGCGCAAGCTACCGCCCGTTACAAAGGGCCAGTAACATTTATCCATCAATTCATCATGCTTCCTAAGCACTAGACACGGTGTAAGAAAGTTCCACCGATACTCCTGCTATGCCGCAAGCTGCCCTAACATTCCTGGTGGACGAAAAGAAGTTCCCTGAAATTTCAGATAAAGATTCAGATAACTGGCAACCATGAATGTTATCACGAAGATGGCTGAAGTTGCGTATACCTTTAAGCGAAGCTAATTTAGTGACTAGTGTAGATGACAACATAAGAAATGAAAAGGAAGCATTACCTTTTAGGCATGGACACAGATTTATATTGACGCCGCCTTTGACTTGTTCGTCCGAACACCACTGACCGAGCTCCGATTTAGGCTGGCAGGTGGTTGTGCCGTCATATGACCGCAAACAGCACAAGTGATCCTTGCACTCGCTGTAAGCGCCGCATGTATGTCCTATTCCCCACGGAAGGGGAGGATTACCGCCGGGGTAGATTGGCTTCTGCAACTGCAAAACACACAGAATAAGCGAGATTTTCCCAATTTTCTTGCGGGCGCCAACATTTTTTTGCTCAGTTCAAAGCACACTGTAAAGTCCAGAGTAAGTGCCATTGAAAGGCACTGCTATAGAAAAACATGACTTTCCGAGCTTCAGTTATTGTGTCAGGCAGATAAGCGGTAGCGGACTGTTTTGACATTCCTCGAGGAGGGAGACCTTTTCGGGTGATTTAGGATAAAGCTTGAGATAACTGGCAACAGTGAGTGTAGTCACTAAGATAGCTGAAGTGCCGTTCCGTCACTCTAAAAGTCTAAAATGTAGCTTAGGGATTTAGTGGCTACGGGTGGAACGTTTGGCGGGGCCCCCTTTATACTGCAGTTGCTGATTGGGTTAAGGGCAAGACCGGTAAAATACTGCTACCTCGAGGCTATGCATGGGTTTCGTTGATTTCACGTCACCGGTCATTGTGGTGCCAACTCCGCTGAGTGTGTTCCTGCTGTGGCATACATTGCGCACCAACGAATTTGCTTTTGCTTGCAAAGAAAAAGTACAAAACGACAACCGACACGGCTTGATGATGTCATGTTCAAGGACCTGTGTATATATATATAAATATCTTCATTTAAGATTGAAGGTGCAAGGAGGTCATGTCCGTATTCAAAAGCATATCCCCTCCCCAAACATTCTAGTCAAATAAACAACTTTATTTTCATGCGGTACGTTGTTCACGGTTGCAGTCACATAATCACGTACGAAAACATTGAGATTATTTCGATGACACATGCAACAACAACGAATTTAAATCGCTATATAAGTTTTCTACTGATGCCACTCAATTTTAGACAGAGCTAGGGACCGAAATGGTATTAAGCACATGCCTGTATCGGCAAAATTTAAAGGAGCAGGGTCAAAAAATAACTTTTTGAAAGCCCACAAAACGACATCATCAGTCTGGTAATCCGAGCAATCATCTGTAGCATCGATTGCGAGCATCTTCTATGGTGATCGGTTTGTTAAGATGAAGCGAAGATACAAAGTCACTGGGACGATGCGTGTGATATGTTTTTCAGCGGTATGTGCAGTATTTCTTTGTAGGGGGCGAATGTCCCTTAGAACAAGGCTGGCCTGAAAACTGAGATAAAACAGGACAAAGCGAACCAAGCCCACCCTAAAGACAAAGATTTTTATGAAAGCTAGTATATTCGCCAAAGCGAAAAGACGAACAACAAAATTTTTCATTCAACAAGGTCAAAGTGGAGTTGTGTTTTTGTAGGGCGTTTTTAACCGTTTTTATTTTGAACTGAATTTACTGGACTACCCATCAAGTATTTCTTGCCCGCTGCCCCTTCAGCCAAACACGATACCTCTGAACTTTCGTTTTCTCTCTCTCCCTATTTACTTTTATAGTTTAAGAAGTCCCGTGGTATTCCCAGCTTATTGTTTAAAAAGTCCCGCGGTGTGTTCCCAACATCGTTTTCATTACACTTTGATGGCAAGGTGACAACAGAGGAAGAAAAAACCTTACGTCCCAGCCGTTACCGTCAACGTCACACTTGGCATCGTCATGACGATAGTCGTTATCGCCATATTGGGCTCCAACATCAGCCACCAGTGCTGTCACGACAATGGTCAAAGCAAGCGCTGCGCTTAGGGCTTTCATCTCCGTGTTTTTATGTGCGATTGGTTGCAATGCACAGAAGCCTTCTCACCTAAAAGCAATTCTTGTGTCGTTTTATAAGAAGATTTTCACCGTACTATGCTGAGGCGCGCGTGGACTGTGATTCGTTGAAGCATTTTGTTCTATTTCTTGCTATCTTACGTTGAGCTTACTTGAGTAGTTTATGAAGCCAAGACTGAAGGTTAGTACAAATGTGCCAAAGGTTCCTTTATATCTAGGTACCCAAGTGCAATCACAGGGGTGGGTGCAAAAGAGGCATTGCGCATCGGAGATGTACGCCTAACCGCCCTAAGCTACGACCACACGGATAAATATATTTCTGCACGTATGCTGCGCAGTCAAAATACATAAATACAGAAAGATTTCGTGTAAAGAAATATCAACAGAACAATAGACAAAGCACCTGCCAAAAAGAATAACTTTAAAGGCCTTTTTTTAAATATATATATATATACTTTGTCGTAATATTTTTGCATGTTCGGCCGACTAAGCTTTGCATTTTGCAAGATAACCCAAAATATAACCTATATAGAATAGGGTATCGTTTGCAGAGGGTGTGGGGGGGAAGGGAGCTGACACCGCATAACGAGCTAGCATCTTTCAATCTCATCCGCCAAGTTAGCAAAAAAAAAATGCAGCCAGAAATTGCCGATGAAAATACTCCGCTGTCTAATTTATGCGTATATTTCCGCACACCCATAGTATGTCAAACGTGATAACCTTGCACGCACAACATATATTCTGTACAGACACCCAGAATAAACAAAGACTCATTCTCCATATGCGGTGATCCTAAACACGATTTCTGCAGATACAATTTATTATTTAGAGAGAAAATAGAACAATGTCTCGTTATTTTTCTCAGCTCAGGCAATGCTGTCCACAGCGAATTCAGCGCAGCAAACTAAAACTACTCGTCGAATGTTTTTTTTTTGTCTTTTGTTTTTTTTTGTTTTTTTTTAGATGCATAGCGGCTAAAAATAGGAGTGTGCGCAAACGGCGACCAGGCAGTACCGACCACGTGGTTTAGCAGGCAGCGCGTGGAGGGTCAGAACGGCACTGGAAGTGTTTAAATGTGTCTGCACATTCACCTCCTCCCCCTCCGCCGCACGCACGGCAGCCGTGGAACAGCGTGGTTTATGCTGCATGGTCGCTTTTTTGCGCATTCTGTAGCTCGCATTGCTACAGCCACTGCACATTTTATAGGTATACTTCCGATTATTTGTTCCACGATGTTCGCTGTCACTTTTCTACACTTTTTCTTTTTCTTGATATTACCGTCGTTTTTCACTTTGTTTTTGTAAGTTTGATGAATTCTTTTGATCGCATCTGTTTTCAGTATTGGTTAAAACATTTCTGCGTTGCATTATTTTCAAATACTGAGACCCCGCGTCGTGATACTTATTTACATCTCAGGTCGGTTTCTGCGTTGACAGCTCGTGATGTAACCTAGGTCCAAGGGAGGGAGATTTATAACCATACTATAATCTTCATGACTTTTTTTTCTAAGAGAATAAAAAAATTAAAAAGAAAACTGGAAAAAAATCAGCAATAGCTGGTTTCGAGGTTCCAGTATCACGCTCTGCACATGTTCGTTAGTTTATTAAAATGATGCAACAGGCTGAACCAGAAAAGCCTTTCAATTCGTTCGGGGGTAGGCAAGGGGCGTATGTACATGCTCTTCGGAATTAGTGTAACTAGTGCCCCTGATAACTTAGGAAACGCAGGCCGTTGCTTTTATGTTAGCGCGTCTTCCTTCCTGTTTCGTGACCTTTTTATTGACCTTTGTTGACCTGCGACCTTTTTATTGACAAATATTGCGATATCAATTACTGTGGAGTAATATTAAAGTGTTCGGGACTTGCGGCACTATTGGCGCGTCGCCATGCTGTCAGGGTCCATATAAAATGAAATCCGTTTAGAACGAACTCACGGAAAATTTTTAAAAAATTTAATGTAAAAGGTACTTTTTATAAAGACAATTGGATATATAGAGCTCTTCCTCCGGGAAGGCTTCCAAGACCGCGCAAACAGTCGTCCTCTAGCCTGTCCTCCCCCTGCCCCCCCCCCCCCCCCAAAAAAAAAAGGAAAAAAAAAAGTGGGAAACAAAGAAATCGTAAAAGCTCAAGTTGGGAACAAATTGAGTGAAGAGAAGCGGTTCAGAAGGGAAGAAAGTTAAAAAAAAATACACTCTGCACGCACGCACAGAAAAAAAAAAAAAAACTTTTCATCCCAAAATGGTTGCTAACGAAGAGAAGCGGTTAAAGTGCAGGCGAGCTGGTGGATATTTACCATGATGGTAAATATGGTAAATTGAGACGTTCTCTTCTTCACTTGTCTTTCAGACGTTCTCTTCTTCACTTGTCTTTGAGACGTTCTCTTCTTCACTTGTCTTTGAGACGTTCTCTTCTTCACTTGTCTTTGAGACGTTCTCTTCTTCACTTGTCTATGAGACGTTCTCTTCTTCACTTGTCTTTGAGACGTTCTCTTCTTCACTTGTCTTTGAGACGTTCTCTTCTTCACTTGTCTTTGAGACGTTCTCTTCTTCACTTGTCTTTGAGACGTTCTCTTCTTCACTTGTCTATGAGACGTTCTCTTCTTCACTTGTCTTTGAGACGTTCTCTTCTTCACTTGTCTTTGAGACGTTCTCTTCTTCACTTGTCTTTGAGACGTTCTCTTCTTCACTTGTCTTTGAGACGTTCTCTTCTTCACTTGTCTTTGAGACGTTCTCTTCTTCACTTGTCTTTGAGACGTTCTCTTCTTCACTTGTCTTTGAGACGTTCTCTTCTTCACTTGTCTTTGAGACGTTTTCTTCTTCACTTGTCTCTGTCCCTTCTACTTTTAAGTTTCTGTTTCTACCCCAGTCTCGGGTTAAGTTCCATCAAGAGAAGCGATTCAGAATTGGAGATAAACCGAAAAAAAAAAACTGCACGCATGCAAACAAAACAAACAAAAAAGTTTCTTTGCGCGTTCTTAAAAGGCGAAGCGAAGAGATGAGAAAGAAAGGGAAGCTCTCGCCTTACAACGAACGCATCGTGGAAGTTCGTTGTAAATGGTTTTTACTATATCAAATTACTTGCTATATCGAACAAATCCTAGCGTTTCCTGCTGTTCGTTATAGACGGGTTTGATTGTAGATGTCATCACCAGTTTATTCGGTTAAACAGAATTGGTACTGCACATTTTACCTCAGAACAAAACAGCTGATTTCTAGCATGGTACCGTCGTTACATTGAATTTACGTAAATAAAGGTTGTTGTGGGAAAACCTTTCTGTTTTGTTTCCTAGCGTACAGGATATGGCCGTTAGGCGTGCCAAATATAGCATATTTGGCACGCCTTACGGAAATAGAAATATAAAATGTACATATAGCTAAAACTGACCACGCGAACGTCGTTTAATCTCAAAAGGTTTCACATGTAAATTTTTCTTTTTTTTTTTTCAAATTACTTCAAAGATAGAGAAATAAAAAAAAAATAAGCGAACATGGCGGCCGTGTATGTTCTGTTCTATAGTCAGTTACAGGTAAAGAAATATTTTCGAGGGAAAGGGGGCAGGGGAGGAGAAAGTAAATGGAATGCTTGAGAGGAGAGGAGGAAACCTTCCCCTTTCCAGCGCTCCGTCTGCTTCCTCCTCCCCAGCCTTCCTTTCACTCGTAAGCTTGTCTTAATCTGTAACTGACTAAAGCCTGTTCGTCGTCTGCTCACTAATAGTTTGCGAGATCGCTCTCTGGTGGCTTGCTGAACGCAAAAATGAATGAGAATGCTTAATAGAGGCTGGCGACGAGCAGCATAATCCCGATGAGCAACAATTTTAACGAAATTTATGGAAGATGACTACCTGGGAGCGAGGTCGCAAACCAGGGTGCAGACGACTAACATCCCATATATAGGAGACAGTAGAAGCACTGTCGCCGTTTTTGCACTATTTTTAATATTTCACCACCTCCAATTTGATCTCTAAACAAAATATTCATACAATGCTTTGCAAAATGGCGTCGCCTTACCAGTTCCACATATTTACGAATAGAATTAGAATTTCGCCAGGCTTGGCAAATGTGCTGGTCCTTGACCTCGTCCTGCACATAATGAGGCCTTTGTGCATTAATTAACTTGTCTGAGACCACTTAACTTTCAGCAAATCTTGGCTGATCTAGTCAAGAGGGTTCTTTGCGCAACACAAGGGACAATCACAAGCGAGTAGACACGGACAAGCGTAACCTATATTTGTACAGCTGATCTATATTTGTACAGGCTTGGCTAGCCCATAATTACTTCGCATAAACGTCTGTACACAACCGCAGTTGCATGGTGTAGTGGTTGTGCTACTTCCAAGTCCAAAATGACGAAGTCGGTGTGCAGGTGCACAATGACGTCCAGAACGCCACGGAACACGAGGTTCGGAGAAAGAACTGCTCCAGCGGTTCCATCGACCGATGTCTTGGACGGTTTTATTTAGTTTGTAAATATAGTGTACATAAGGTTTTTGATTACTAACTTCACAATGGAAATCGGTGCTTATATATATTGCTTTAGACAATGTTGCACTTATTACATAAATTACGGTGCCGTGAGGCCCTTCATTTTAGCAAAAACTTAATTTTCGCAAATGTTGTGACAACTTTTAACGAAAACTGTGCCACGCGATTCTATCAGCCTGTGGTAACAATTACATAGCCTATTAATTATAATGACCAATTCATGCGCACCAATTTTTTTCAAATCCCAAGATTCAAAACATTTTTAAAACATTAAAATATGAAAGCATCAATTCAAAGTTTATCGGAATATTTGGTCAGCTAGCCTACTGATCGTGAGGATTATTTTCCTGCCTAATGGCAGCAGAGCCCAATAAACAGACGGCAGAAACGTACCTGTTACCACCATCTTGGAAAAAATCTATTTTCATTAAACAAAATTACTCCATATCGTCTACATACGACATGATACACCAACTTGTAATAATCACATCTGCTTGAATAA